ACGTGAAATAGATTCATTAAAATCCTGAATCGATCGATAAATATAAATTTATTTTGCCCGAAACACCAGAATCTCAGGTTAAACCTCACAAAATTTCAACAACCACCAAACAGCTAAAACAATAAATGAGAGCAGGTACACAGATTCTGCATAAAGACGTAAACACAAAGCTCGAAGATGTGGCTTTCTCACCCAACGGTCAGGGCTGAAAGCCGACAGCTCACAGATTCTGATCCGTCAGCAGGTCGGCACTTTGTGTTTACGCCCCTTTTGCACTAGATTCAGAAGCTGCAGGTTTTTATATCTCTCCAAACAATATTGACTGAACCAGCAACAAGAGAAGATCCAAACAACACTTCACATTTTGCATCACATAAACATCGTCATGAATGCCCTCTTAGTTTGCCGTTTTGCTTCCACCACGATAAAAATCACACTTCATGCAGAGCTCGCGGCCTCTCTCTCTCTCTCTCTGTACTTCAAGAACAGGTTCCCATCCAAAAATCTTTTTTCTGCATTATTCGCTTGCTTATTACGCGCAAGTCAACTGTTGTTTCTTTTCCCTTTTACTTACTTCTGAAAAGAAAGCCTCATTTCTGCCGTTCAATAGGCTACTGAACAAATTTAAACTTTTTAAAATTATGCAAAATTGCAAAACGCTTAGCTGCGTCTCTAATAAAACCTCTGTAACTTTGCTCTGCTTCACTTCAGCAGCATCAGGTAATGTTCATATTTTGATTAATGACTTTCTTTCATTTTTGATCTACTGCAGAACATTTTTAAGGTTATCTGCTATAAAAGTCGCCTTCATGTTTTTCTGTGTTTTATCCTCAGTTACTTCGACACAAAGGCATCGGCTGTGATGCTTACACTTTTGATAAAGTCTTGCAAGTGTCAGCTTTCTTTTTATAGATATAAAAATATGGAAATGTACTGATATGTGATCAAAATTATAATATTTCTGACTCAGACAAAATTTCCCAGATTAAAATCGAATCAAACCGAATCGTGGATCGAATCGATTCGGGACCTTGTGAATCTGAATCGATTCTAGAAATCAGTGACGTTACCCAGCCCTACTGATCATAAGCATGTAATCTTAGACACAGTTCTGCATCTAGTGTTGTCTTCCCAGAGAAAAACTGCTCATATTCGGAAGATGCAACTGCTATCATCATCACCCATCCATCCATCCATCTTCTTCCACTTAATCCGGGGCCAGGTTGCGGGGGCAGCAGCCTAAGCAGAGAAGCCCAGACCTCCCTCTCCCCAGCCACCTCCTCTAGCTTATGAGGGGGAACACCAAGGCGTTCCCAGGCCAGCCCGAGAGATATAACCTCTCCAGCGTGTCCTAGGTCTACCCCAGGGCCTCCTCCCTATCATCATCACCCCGACCCAAAATTACATACCAAGCCCCAAAAAGATGACTGAAGGTGCATTGAGTGCGAGAGCAGCTGACCTGAGAGATAGGATCATGGCGAACCTGGAAAACCTGACCCTTGATGGCCAATTACCAAGACTATATGAAATACCCTCTGAAGGTCTACTAGAAGATGTGAATGCAGCATTACAGAAAATCCCTAAAATGGCCATTACCAAAACGAATCAGCAGATCTACACCACGACAACAGTGATCACTTTGTTTGGCTATAAGATGAACAGCCACAAGGATCACCATCCCCTATGGAGAAGGAGACTAGGGGCGAAGATCAATGTAGTGCAGAGGGAAGTTAGCAAAACTATTGGAGCTGCAGAAAGGTGTTATGACTCGATGCCCCACACATGGATCCTGGAATGCCTAGAACTATACAATATCAGGAATTCAATGGGGATGTGGCAAACAACACTAGAGGCCAACCCACGGAACATGTCAACATCACGTGTAGGAGCTACCAAGGAGATGATCTGTCCCAACTGCTGTTCTACATAGGCAAGACCCCTTAGTGAGATCATTTACAAGACCTACAAGCTACAGACACTGACTTCGGAAATGAGCAATCATCAGCCACCTGCTCCAAATGAATGACATCAAGGAGTAAGCAAGAGAAAGGGGGTGTCCAAATTCATCTGCTGCATTCTCCTGAGGCTGCATTTGTAGACCGATTACCTCACAGTGACGCGCCAAGGCTGTCCAAATTTGTAGACTCCTCTGAATGCAGCCGACAAACGCGGGTGTATCCTTTGTGGCCCACCATATCCCAGAATTCATAGAAATTCCAGTTTCTAACAATGGCAGTTGCTACTAAGTTTTAATATTACTCTTTCTGGGTCACAAATTAAACTTTTATGATATTTCAGGCAAGAATGTGGCTGTGCAAACTTCAAATATCTGCTGGGTTTATCATCACATATTTGCAAAAGTGCTCTGACATTTTCGGAGACGTCTGTTACCCAGCAGCTCAATAGCTAGCCGGGGCGATAACAGCGAACTCCCCGCACAACCCACCTTTCGCTACTCAGGTTAAACATGATATATAAGTCACTTAGATAACTTAACAGTGTTATTGTTTGGCTTTTTCAGTGTTTTATTTGTTAATGAGTAAATCGGTTTGGCTGAGATTAAAGTTATAGTTTTCACACAGCTAAATAAACGCCAAACAGAGAACTGATTAAACAGAAGTGTGAGATGATCGAGAATTTATGCCAGTGTCCTGTTATATTATAGACAGAAAGGAGCAGACAGCCAAGTTTATTAAACTCCACCGAGACAGCTGGTGATGCAAAACTGAAGGCTAGACCGTCCAATTTCACAGCCGCTCACTTCCGGCCTAGCCGGCCTTTGGAGGACGACCGCGAAGGCCGGGTCCTCAGGAGGATGCAGCCTATGAATTTGGACACCCCTATAGATACACTGATTCATACCAGTAGGATCTACAACAACGAAATTCTAATGCCGTTAGGACTGGGAAAAGTGTAGTCAGTTCTGACTACCATCCCCTTATTTGTTACAGAGAGAATTGTACTACCTGGAGGCAACATTGCAGACATCAAGGACAGCTACAAGTACCTAATCCCACAGGCAAATGGGAGCCATAAAGAGGCCGCTAGGAAATCTGCAACCTCCAAATACCTGCAGAAAGTAAAGCAAGTCCTGAGGAGTCAGCAGAATGGGAAGAACAAGATCCGGGGCAATTAACACCAATGTCCTGCCTGTGATCAGATACCCTGTTGGGAAAATAAGCTGACCAAAGGAGGAGATAGAAGCCAAGGAAAAAGACAAAAGAAAGTTTCTTACCATGCATGGAGCGTTTTACTCCAAGTCCAGGACCCTGAGACTGTATGCTAAGTGGAAAGAAGGAGGCTGAGGCCTAGTGAATGTCACAACCACTATCCAGGATGAAACAACAAAGATCAAAAGATCGAAAGTCAGGAAGATGGGCAAAACTGCTCATGTGCTTAGGAAATACCTGAGCCAATAGAAATCCGAGAAAGAAGAGGAAAAAATCATCATGGAGGTACACTAGTACTAGGCTGCTAATGTACCACGGGCAGATCAGATTCCTGGATGAAAAAGCTGGTCTGAAAGACCAGCAGAGAGGCACTAATAATGGCAGCATAGGAATAAGCTAAGATCCTTAGGGACTTCCAGGTACAGAGAGACAAACTGGTGATGGGTAACCAGACACTCTAGCGGTGTACAAGCAGATTAATACAGCCATAGTGATAGATATAGCTACGCTGAGTGATAGCAACATCAGGAAAAAGGAACACGAAAAGCTCAAGAAGTACCAAGGGCTGAGAAGATGTGGAAGGTGAAGTGAATAGCTGTGCCTGTGGTATCTGAGCACTCGGTGTAGTGACACCCAAGTTGGATGAGTGGCTCTGGGTCATATTTTACAGATCTCAGAAACAACACCTGAGACATCTGTCCAGAAGAGCACAGTTCTCGGAACAGGAAAGATACTGTGAAGTATATACGTGCATGCTCAAATATATACATACACTCAAACATTTTAATACGTTCCACTGAAGGTTCTAAAATGTCTTAACTTTAACAGTCAAGGCATACCAACTTGTTCCTCTATATTGTATGTGGATTAGAGAAAATCAAAAATAAAGTCAAACTTGTGCACCCAGGTTTTTTTTCTTTTTTTAAATTAAAAAAAGATGTATAGTGTATATTCACTTCACCCTGCAAAAAACACAAAAGATGTTTACAGAAATCAATATCAGAATTCTCCATCCTCATGAGTGCATGTAAACATTTGACCACAACTGTCAAATTTAAAATGAGCTAATATTTTTTGTTAAAATTGTACATTTTCTACAGTTTTGCATGTGATATTTTCCGTGTTCCATTGTGAATAAAATATAAATTTATAAGGTTTGTAAGTCATTGCATTTTACACAACATCTCAACTTTTTTGGAAATAGGTTTGTAGCTTTTATTGCAGTTTTTAAACAGATGGTAAATATACTTTTTTCCTCAACTGTGAAATATTAATGTGAATATCCCCAGTACTCATTCTTAAGCTATGAGACCCAAAAAAGCTATATAAAAAAAAAAAAAAAAAAAAAATGGTAAACCCACCCCTATGTGATTTGAGTGCCTTAAACTCTTTAGGGTGTAAAGGTTTTCCTTTTATTATGGAATTTCCTAGTGTAAACCCAATCCTCAAACTCCAAAAATCTCTACCAACAAATCCTACTCACAAATTTATCACCAAGTGAAATACAGAGCACCTCTATATTTCATGAAATAACAAGGCCAAACTGTTTCCATTCATGACTAGACTTCCGTTAAAAATACAATATAAAGATTTCCCATATAAAAATCTTAAATTAAAACTGAAGGTCATTGAATTAGTCACATTTCATTACTAATTTAGTTTTCAAATCTGTTGTTGTCAAGAGATGCAGAATTCTGAAGAGTCCTGTATTATTGTTCAACCTTGAGTATAATCTGTATAACTTCATCAGTACCAACGCTTGAGACCATTCTATGGGCTGAACTTGGATAAATGTAACCATAGAGATATCTGAAAGAAAAGAAGACCTACCTCGCAGAATTTGATAAAGAAAAACTTTGGCATGGTCTGAGCTCAGAGGCTGCGGTGATACAATGATCTTATGGAGGTCACTTTGCATCAGTTCAGTTACTACATAGCTGATCAAGAGGAATTAAGGTTAAAAGAAAAACAAATATGTGCAAGAACATAAACAGTAAATCGCAATGAGAACCTGAGAAAGACAGTATAGTTATAATAAAGATGTGCTTTATTTTCTAAGATAGAGTTTAGGCATCATTCTTACCTTTCCAGTTATCTTATGTTAATCACTAGCAGCATTCTAGAAATGAAAATGTAAACTGGCATCTTCTTTCACATAAAGTATGGGTATTTGGAATGAAAAAGCATTACACAACAGATCATTGCAGAGTGTAAATACCTGCAGTTACCAAAACTTGTTAAAATTCACTAAACTTAATTCACACTTTTGTTTTCTGCGTAGCCTTAAGGCCTTACCATATTTCCATCTTGGGCAGATGGGCAAAAAGAATTCCCATGAATTCCAGAAATCAGAATCACCACAAAAAAAAAAAAAAAAAAAAAAAAAAAAAAATTAAAGGGGGTTACCACAGGTATTTTGATTTAGTAGATTTTTACGCTGGATACCTTTCCTGGTGCAAGCCTCCTAGGAATTGTGTCTCCTCCTAATTTCAAACGTACAAGTTGATTGATGATGACGTATCCTGTAACACACCTTTACAGAGTCTTTTAACGTTAGGGAACATGTAAATGGCCCCACACATACAGGGTCAGACACTGGTTTAAATATAAATAAGATGCAGAAAATTATTATGAAGAAAGGGATGCTTAAGAAGTACTGCAAGCTGCCCATAACTCAGGCCTTAGAACCTGCCAAACAAAGACTCACGGGCTTTGGCCTGCTGCTGGCAAGGTATACTATCTCTTCAAGGTGCATTTGAAGTGGCATACCAGAGAGCTAGAAGCCAGGAGAATAAACCACCTGTACACCACTCCATGGAGTACAGCTGGTATACTCCACTCCATCCAAGGTGTATTCTCAGTAGCAGGGTAACAATATGAGAACAGCCCCACTGAGGCTGGAGACAGTAACTCTGAAAATGCATGTGGGAGAAAGACGTAACCCATATCAACAATGCTCAGAGGCTGGTGGAGCCAAGAGTAGACTACAGCACCCCCCAATGAACAACATCCAGTAACAGTGGCAGACGTCATTGAAAGGGCCTCTGAGCGTCTGGCAACATAAATTAAAATGGTAAATGGCCTGTATTTATATAGCGCTTTACTAGTCCCTAAGGACCCCAAAGCGCTTTACATATCCAGTCATCCACCCATTCACACACACATTCACACACTAGCTACATTGTAGCCACATAAATTAAGCAGCTGCAAATGGGCGAAATGCACTCAGAATGGTTAACTGAAGCCTGGACAATCCTGATGCCCAAGCATCCCCAGAAGGCACCGGTCTAGTACAACTATCAGCCAATAACCTGCCTTGGTACAACATGGAAGCAACTGTCAGGCATCATAGCGGCTAAGATGAACAGGCACATACTTCAATACATGAGTGGGGCACAGAATGGAACTGGCAGGAACATCAGAGGGGTAAAACAACAGCTACTGGTAGATGGAGCACTCACTCAAGATTGTAAGACTAGACTGAACAATCTGTGCACCTCCTGGACTCATTACAAGAAAGCCTATGATTCAATGCCCTACACATGGATCCCAGAATGCCTAGAAATATATAAGATCAACAAAACCCTAAGAACGTTCATCAAGAAGTGGCAAACAACACAATAGCACAAGAGATGATCTGTCACCACTGCTGTTCTACATACGCCTGAAACCCCTCAGTGCGATATTTGACAAGACTGGCTATGGATACTGATTAAGAAATTGAGCAATCATGAGCCACCTGCTCCACATGGATGACCTCAAGCTGCATGCCAGGAGTGAACAAGATATCGATTCACTGATCCATACCATTAGGATCTGCAGCAACGAAATTCCAGTGTCATTAGGACTGGAGAAGTGTAGTCAGTGAAACAAAATGTAACAAAGAAAGGGATAGTAGTCAAAACTGAGGGGATTGTACTACCAGGAGGCAACATTGCAGACATCAAGGACAGCTACAAGTACCTAATCCCACAGGCAAATGGGAGCCATGAAGAGGCCGCTACAAAATCTGCAACCACCAAGTACCTGCAGAAAGTAAGACAAGTCCTGAGGAGTCAGCAGAATGGCAAGAACAAGATCCTGCCTTTGATCAGATACCCCAATTGGGAAAATAAGCTAGCCAAAGAAAGAGATAGAAGCCAAGGGCAAAGGCAAAAGAAAGCTCCTTACCATGCATGGAGCATTTTACCCCAAGTCCAGCACCCCAAGACTATATGCTAAGCGTAAGGAAGGAGGCTGAGGTTTAGTGAATGTCAGAACCACTATCCAGGATGAAACAACAAAGATCCATGAGTCAGGAAGATGGGCAAAACTGCTCATGTGAGTCAGTATCTGAGACAACAGAAACCCGAAAAAGAAGAAGAGCAAGAAGTGGGACCATCAAAGAAGGACAGGCAAGCTCAGCATGTACCACTGTAAAATAGAAAAAGTGGCTGATATCAAGTAACATCAATGCCTTGACAAAGCTGGACTGAAAGACAGCACAGAGGCACTAATAATGGCAGAACAGGAATAAGCTCTGAGCACAAGATCCACAGTGTTGGTGCTCTACCACACCAGGCAAGACACTAGGTACAGGCAGAGCAAAGAGATTTTCCAGCACATAACAGCATGGTACAAGATGCTAGTACACAGGGCATATATGCTGACATAGTATACAGGAATATCTGTGCTTAGTATGGCCTGGGAGTCCCAAAGTCCAAATGGAATATGCCCCTGAGATTGGTTGAGAATGGGCAAGCTAAGATCCTGTGTGACTTTATGTGCCCGTTCGTCTTAGCCACTATGAGGACCAGCACTTTACATCTTGTGCTGAGGCTGGTTATTGGCCAGTAGTTTGACAGGACCAGTCCCTTCTGGGGATCCTTGAGATTCAGGACTGTCAGACCTTCAATTAGCCATTCTGGGTGTGTGCCATTATTAGCAGCTGGTTCATTTGTGCTGTTAACAGCTTATGGTGTACAGTTAGCTTCTTTAGCCTGTAGGCACTAATCATGTCAGGGCCCGGTGCAGTCCGACTCGTCATGATTTTTCTTTGCTCTTTTTCTGTAAGTGCTTTCTAACACTCAAACACTTTCATACTCCTATGAGAGCAACTTGCGGTTAGTATCTTACCCAAAATAATTTGGCAGGCAGACTGGAGCAGATGGGAATCGAACCACCACCCTTCGAGTTAATATGCTCTTCCACTGCTGCTGTCTGCTCTTAGCTCCACTAGCCACTGTGCATTGCTGTTATGGATTGCATCCTCCTCTCATATGCTCTTCCAGTATTGCTGCTTTTCCAGACTTGGTCGGGCTTTCCCCCTGCCACTGAGAATGCACCTTGGATGGTTTAGGGGAGTACAGCTGATTTTATCTCTCTGGTATACCTCTTCAAGCGGCTTTCGAAGGCTGAGAGTCGTTACTTGGCATCTCAGTGATCACTGTGATTGTGATTCCCCTCTCGCCCTCTGGACGGTCATTATCCTTCAAACTCAGGTCTTCTACCAGAGGCCTGGGAGCTTCAGAGTCCTCCACAGTTCCTTGCTGTTCCTAGGACTGCGCTATTGTAGACAGAGATCATGGATGTTGTTCCTGTGATTTTCTGGAGCCTCCCGCCCAGTGTGGGGGTCACTGCAATGAGTGCTCCAGTTACCACTGGGACCACTGTTTCCTTCACATCTTCTCAAGTCCTTCACATCTTCTCAAGTCCTTCCCTCAACCTTTAGTACTTTGAGCTTCTCGTGTTCCCCGTTCCTGATGTTACCATTATTCGGTATAGCTACATCTATCACTATGGCCATCTTCTTCTGCTTTTCCACCACTACTATATCTGGTTAGTTAACGATCACCAGTTTGTCTGTCCATACCTGGCATAAAGGTTGATGTCATCCATGCAGCGGAGGTACCTGGTGACTGGTGGATTGTGTAGTTGGTATCCATAGCCAGTCTTGTCAGTGATCTCACTGAGGGGCTTCAAGCCTATGCAGAACAGCAATAGGGACAGAGCATCTCCTTTGTAAATCCCGCACTTAATGTTGACTTGTGCCACTGGCTTGAAGTTGGCCTCTAGTGTTTGCCACATCCCCATTGAATTCCTGACGAAGGCTCTTATGGCCCTGTTGATTTTATATAGTTCCGTGATTCATTTGTCGGGCGTTCTTGTAAAATATCCAACTGTCGGGATCAGGACTGACTGGGCTTCAGTTAGCCAATCCACATATCTCATCTACTAGCAGCTGGTCCATTAGTGCTGTCAGATGCTCATGGAGTGCAGTCAGCTTCTTCAGCCAGTAGGTATGAATCATGTCAGGACCAGGTGCTGTTCATATCTACATACTGGAGACCCTTTCCTGTGATGACTACCAGACCCTGTTCAGGGAGATTGCTGTGGTCGGCTTTAACATTCACTATCAACTGAGCCTTATTGTTATGGGTTGCATCCTTCTCCCATATGCTCTTCCAGTCTTGCTCCGTCTCCACTCTTGGTGGGCCTGTTCTTACATTGTTACACTGCCACTTGGATGGTTCAGTACAGTACAGCTGCTTTATTCTCCTGCCTTCTGTTTCTCTGGTATACCTCTACTTGGCAGTTTCCAAGACAGCTTGCTGTACTTCTTAGGCACCCCTTTCTTTACAGGCCCTGTGCTACCTTATTCTTGGCTTCTAGTCACCTTCTCCACAGAGAGTAATGCTCCTTGTAACTGTTCATTTTATAGCCAAGCGGCTCAGTGATCACTGCAGCTGTGGTGTAAATCAGCTGATTCAGTGATGGTTGCAGTAGGGATTGTGCTACATTCACACCTTCTACTAGACCTACAGAGGTTATCTCACGCAGTCTTGGCAATCGGCCATGGAGGGTCCAGGTTTCCAGTTTAGCCATGATGCTATCTATCAGGCCAGCACTCAATACACCCTCAGTCATACTTTGTTTTATTTAATGGTAAATGGACTGGTTCTTATAGAGCACTTCTCTACTATGAGCAATCAAAGTGCTTTTTATAACTTTTCACAACTTGTCTCATTCACCCATTTACATTTTTTTCTTTGCTCTTTTTCTGCAAGTGCTTTCTAACACTCACACGCATTCATACTCTTATGGGTGCATCACAGAGCAATTTGGGGTTAGTATCTTGCCCAAAATAATTTGGCAGGCAGACAGGGATCGAACCACCAACCTTCCGGTTAGTAAGTGACCTGCCCTACCTGAGCTACAGCCACCCCCCAATGTGACCTAAAGAAAATTTCTTATGCAATTCTCCGCAATTTCATACACCTGATTTTAAAATGTAATTCCTGTAGGCCCTGCATCTTGTTATAATCTTTGAATAAATCAATAGTAAAGGATACATTTCTTCAAAGTAGTCAATGTGTGGAGGTTGTAGTATATCCAGCGCAGAGAGCACCTGAGAACAGAGGTAAAGCTGTGGTCTGTTTTCAGGCTGAATGTAATCATGCAGGCAAACACATTTCTTTTTCCTTTCTAGTGGAAACTATAAGCTCCATTGTGACATTGTCATATACTTACATTCTCATGTTTGAAGAAGCACAGCATCTTCAGCTCACGAAATACCCTCTTACAAGAAACAAGGTTTTGGAAGACATTAGGCATCTTTTTGAGAGCAACTCGCTTTCCGTCTCTGGGGTCTGTCACTGACCTGGGTGAATATGAAAAAGAAATTCACAAAAATTATAACATTGGATGAAAAGTTAGATAAATAGATCAGCAGAACAAATCATGTCATGGATTGGACTAAGTTATAAAAATATTTCAGCATTTTTTCATCACATTTTGAGATTTGGTTTGTTTTTGTTTTTTAAAGGACTATTTCCCACGACCAACTTTAAGCATCACTATTATCAAATCTCAAAAAGTGCATTTTGTGTATACATGCAAGGGTTATATCATCTGAGACAAGTGGCTGGTCAAAACAAGTTACACTATATGAAAGGCGTCCTTTTAATCTAAATTTACGACCACCATCTTCCAGGCTCATCTTCCACTTGTAATTTCTGCAGTCAAACAAACTTTTTAATGTAGTTTTGTTTTTTTTGTTTTTTTTAAACAACAAAAAATTAATGGGCAGCACGGTTGCACAGTGATTAGCACTGTTGCCTCACAGCAAGAAGGTCCTGAGTTTGATTCCACCACCTGCCTGAGGGCTTTGCATGTTCTCCCCATGCTGGTGTAGTTTCTCTCTATGCGGGTGTGAATGTGAATGGTTGTCTGTCTCTGTGTGTTAGTCCTGCGACAGACTGGCGACCTGTACAGTGTATCCTGCCTCTCACCCTATGGTAGCTGGGTTAGGCTCCAGACCCGGGGCACTGACAAGGTTAAACGGGAGAGAATGGATGGATGGAACAAAGAATGACACTGATGTGAAAGGAGTGGCCAGAGAAGAGATTAGGAGAAATTCCAGACAACGAGAGAACTTGGCAAAAGTGTGAAAGAAACCATGATATGTTGGGATGTGGCCGGATTCGGTGATGAAGAGAGGGTCTGAAGGTAATACGTGCTGGGATTTTCTAAAGTAGAGGAAATGGGTCAGCAAGACAAAGTGGCTTAAAGGCAAGATTATTTTGAATTAAAATATTGAAAGGGGGCTGCCCAATTGGTTGGTTTTCCTCTGTTTGAGGAGAAGATGAGCCAGTCTTCAAAGACTGTCATCCCTGCTTAAGCGACTTCCACCCAATCTCCTTGAAGAAGAGGTCAATTCTGAATAGCACAAGAACCTGAAGAAGACTAAAAGGTTAAAATGGGAGCCTGATGTTTGAGACCTTTGATGAGAACAGAAGAACAGCAGAACTTTGAAGGCACTTGTGATGTCGGCTTTTGAAAGACATGCACCTCTGCATTTTAACAAGGAAATGGCATGGTTCACTGTTGAGCATTTAAGAGAAAAATCGGGGAATGAGGCAATTTATGTTCGAATAAGACTACCTTGAGTTGCAGACAAATCTATGATGATGTGCTTTTCCCCTGAATGCTCAGTGATGCCCAGTGGGCTGATACAAAAAAAGGGGGAAAGGCGTTATAGGGAAGTGTCCAATTATGAAACCCTCCCAGACTTCTTTGGCGAGCAGGTTGTCAACAGCATCTGGGTCTTTGAGAGCTGACTAGAGATTTTACAGGTACAAGAGATTGATGGCTGGGTGACAATCCTGGGTGAAAACCTGAAAAATCTTTTACTAAAAAGTTGACAAAATCTGGGTTAGGGTGATTTACTAAGGCTTCTTTTAATGCTAGTCATTTCTTGCGGTGGTTGTGAGAGCATGCTGGGTGGGAATGGCCACCGCCACAAGAAGAAAGGAGAAGGAGTGGAGATAGTGGCACTGAGACATGAGGCAAAACGAATCGCTGTAATTGTTGCAAATAGTGCGGCCACCTAGCTGCATAATGGGTCTGTCCTTGTGTACCATATGGCAAAGGCATGCAAGGAATAGATGCTGTAGGTTTAGAAATTTCTGGTGTGGAGGCTGAAGCCAACCAGGTAAGAGCAGATGTACCGTTTATGGGCTGTGAAGTATTTTGATTGCAGCAATGATTTGTTGCCGAAGGTGAGCGGATACTGGGGAAGGTTTTGGAGCTGGTGGGTTAGGAGGAGGAATTGCTGAGGCCAGCAAAACTGAGTGGAAGAGAAAAGAAGGGGCCTGGGCTATAAAACTTAGTCATGTGCTGCTCCGACAAGGAGGAAGAAAAAGTTCTGGGTTAGAAGCATGAATAGTTGAATACCCAGTTGCATGAATGTTAGCTAAAATATTGTAAAGAGAAGCCGAGGTGAGTGGAACTGTGCAACCCGGTGCCATGAAGATTTGCTGAGTTGCAAAGGAAGGATGGAAGACCGCAGGACTGGCAACCCAGTGCCTAGCGCGGAGAAGCACTAAATAGGAGGAACAACTGAAGAGAGAGCTGGTATTTCCCTTCCGGGAACATGCGAAATGGTGGCTGGATGTGGCTTTTGCTGGCTGATGGGTGGGAGTGCAAGGTGCGGAAAGCTTCACTGTTGGAGGCGTTGTCTTCATTTATGCCCAAAAGTGGATTATTTATGTTTGTTGTATCGATGTTGGAGCATTGAGAAGTTAAAAAGAATTGTAATAAGCTTTGTCTTCTTGTCGGACAAGTGAAATTGAATACCTTTCTCTTTAAAACTTATTTAAGACAGGCTACAGTCCAGCCTGGAATCTGGGGGGAGGACGTCTTCGGGAGACCCTTCTGGGGTGTGGAAACAGCCGCATATCTTTGGAGTTAGGCTTTGTGATGGATCAGATTTTCGGGAAGCTAGAGTGATAAAGAGTGGAGCTGCGCCGTGAAGTTTTGCTGGTGGTTGATCTTCCTCTAATCGAAGTTGGGAGGTTATGATTTCACAGGGATAGTGAGCGACCAGAGTTTCTGTATTGCTAAATGGAGCGGAGAGAGGAATTCTGAGGTTTGGATATACAGGAAGTGCAGAATTATTAGGCAAGTTGTATTTTTGAAGAATAATGTTATTATTGAACAACAACCATGTTCTCAATGAACCCAAAAAACTCATTAATATCAAAGCTGAATGTTTTGGAAGTAGTTTTTAGTTTGTTTTTAGTTTTAGCTATTTTAGGGGGATATCTGTGTGTGCAGGTGACTATTACTGTGCATAATTATTAGGCAACTTAACAAAAAACAAATATATACCCATTTCAATTATTTATTTTTACCAGTGAAACCAATATAACATCTCCACATTCACAAATATACATTTCTGACATTCAAAAACAAAACAAAAACAAATCAGCGACCAATATAGCCACCTTTCTTTGCAAGGACACTCAAAAGCCTGCCATCCATGGATTCTGTCAGTGTTTTGATCTGTTCACCATCAACATTGCGTGCAGCAGCAACCACAGCCTCCCAGACACTGTTCAGAGAGGTGTACTGTTTTCCCTCCTTGTAAATCTCACATTTGATGATGGACCACAGGTTCTCAATGGGGTTCAGATCAGGTGAACAAGGTGGCCATGTCATTAGTTTTTCTTCTTTTATACCCTTTCTTGCCAGCCACGCTGTGGAGTACTTGGACGCGTGTGATGGAGCATTGTCCTGCATGAAAATCATGTTTTTCTTGAAGGATGCAGACTTCTTCCTGTACCACTGCTTGAAGAAGGTGTCTTCCAGAAACTGGCAGTAGGACTGGGAGTTGAGCTTGACTCCATCCTCAACCCGAAAAGGCCCCACAAGCTCATCTTTGATGATACCAGCCCAAACCAGTACTCCACCTCCACCTTGCTGGCGTCTGAGTCGGACTGGAGCTCTCTGCCCTTTACCAATCCAGCCACGGGCCCATCCATCTGGCCCATCAAGACTCACTCTCATTTCATCAGTCCATAAAACCTTAGAAAAATCAGTCTTGAGATATTTCTTGGCCCAGTCTTGACGTTTCAGCTTGTGTGTCTTGTTCAGTGGTGGTCGTCTTTCAGCCTTTCTTACCTTGGCCATGTCTCTGAGTATTGCACACCTTGTGCTTTTGGGCACTCCAGTGATGTTGCAGCTCTGAAATATGGCCAAACTGGTGGCAAGTGGCATCTTGGCAGCTTCTTTTGACCCATTTTGCCAAAGGAAAGGACGTTGCCTAATAATTATGCACACCTGATATAGGGTGTTGATGTCATTAGACCACACCCCTTCTCATTACAGAGATGCACATCACCTAATATGCTTAATTGGTAGTAGGCTTTCGAGCCTATACAGCTTGGAGTAGGACAACATGCATGAAGAGGATGATGTGGACAAAATACTCATTTGCCTAATAATTCTGCACTCCCTGTAGTAGACCGGATAGCCAAGTGGCAAGAATGACTACTGGAAGGTTCCCTATGCAGCGAGCGGCGATCAGTCTCTCTGCGGTGGCTCCACTATGACATTTAGAAATGGGAGTTTGGGATTCCTGGACTGCTTGAAAGATATCTGATAAAGAGGGACTGAGATCTTAGTCTGATGGGGTGAGGGACAAGAAATTCATGATGACCAGCTGAACAGGTGAGAAGGATCTATGCTCTTAGAAATGCTTTTAGAGTTGTTTGACATCGTATAGTGTTCGCATGAAAATGAGAACAGCAGGTATTAGTGAAGGGGACACATATATACATATACACACATATATATTTACACACATATATACACACACATACATATATATATATACATACACACACATACATATATATATATACATACACACACATAATATACACACACATACATATATACACACACATTACACATACACATATATATATATACATATATACACACACACATATATATATATATATACACACACATATATATATAATATATATACACACACATATATATATATATATATATAACACACATATATATATATATATATATACACACACATATATATATATATATACATATACACATACATATATATACACACATACATATACACATACATACATATACACATACATACATATACACATACATACATATACACACATACATATACACACATACATACATATACACATATATATACATATACACATATACACATATACACATACATATACACATACATATACACACATACATATATACACATACATATACACATACATATATATACACACATATATACACAACATATATAACACACATATATACACACATATATACACACACATATATAACACACATATATACACACACATATATACACACACATATATACACACACATATATATACACACATATATACACACACATATATATATATATATATATACATATATATATATATATATATATACACACATACACACACTGAAGACTAAAAGGGGCGTGAATGAGGAGTGAGTGAAATTCAGATAAAATATCTCCGCTTATAGAAAAAGCATATAATTTAGTTGACACTCAATCCTTAGTTGTGCTGCAATAAACCTAGGTTCCTGGGGGACTTCCCATGATGCACTGATTGCTTCTGTTTCACTCACTTTTTGGTTACACACTTCTCTGCATTTAGTTATTAGTTATCATTAATCTCTGGCTCTCTTCCATAGCATATCTTTGTCCTGTCTCCCTTCCTATAGCACCAACCGGTCATGGTAGATGGCTGCCCCTGACTCAGCCTGGTTCTGCCAGAGGTTTCTTCAGGTTAAAACTGAATTTAACTGAAATTGAGGAATAATAATAATAAAAATAATAATAATTGATTGCATTTATATAGCGCTTTTCGAGACCCTCAAAGCACTTTACAGTTCCACTATTTATTCACTCTCACACACTTGTGGAGGCAAGCTATAGTTGTAGCTGTGTAGCTGTAGGCAGACTGACAGAAGCAAGGCTGCCATATCGCACCATCGGCCCCTCTGGCGCTCAGGTAGGTGGTAGATGAAGTGTCTTGCCCAAGGACACAATGACCAAGAGAGAAAGAGCTGGGGATCGAACTGGCAACCTTCCGGTTACAAGATGAGCTTCCCAACCCCCTGAACCACGGTCACCCCGCAAATGAAAGCATTCACAGTCTAACAGTACGCTTAAAATAAAAAAAATAAAAAAACAGTTATGAGCCATAAATATGAACCAGCACATGGGACGCTGTACCAACTGATTTCTTTCTAGACTTTAGTACAGTGAGTACAAAAGAGGCATGTGTTCTTATGCCAAAAGGAATCATCTCAAGCCAATGAAACAATGAAGAAAAAAAAAAAAAGAAAAAGAAAAAGAAAAGTAGACACTTCTGTGATCCAGTCATGTCCGCATGCTCAACTTGCAAGGACTTTGACAAACTTATCCATCATAGATATTACACTATTGCAGACAGCACCAGGGAGAGAAAACTGTCTGGGTAAAACTTTTCCCTTGGTGGATTGGGCCATTGCACTACCTCCCCCTACTCACTCATTTTGATGGAAGAGGAGACAAAGAGTGGCAATAACACAATAATACCCTCGGGCAAGATACTAACCCCAAGTTGCTCTCTAGTCCATATACCATTTAATTCAGTTTGTGTCGAAAATTATTATTATCAGAATAATCAGATTTTTTTTTTTCTTAGCAGAGGTAGCCTAAATCAAAGTACTGCAATGCACAGCATGCCTAACATTCATAGTTACTTATGATTGGCTAGGGAAGTAGCTCTAAATTTCTTTTAAATTGTTAGTGCAATCAATTAGAAATTTTTCAATTAGAAAAACCCTCTCGATTTAAGCAAACTCAGAACTTCCAATGTGCTTACCCACTGACTTGACCTCTGGTTTAACTCAGTTTAACAAAAATATATTGTTTTTCTATTTGCTACTATTGTTATTTTTATATAATGCAAGTACGCCATTTTCGTATGGAGTACTTGCATTAAAGAAAACTGTTGAGTATGACATTGCTGGAAATAGCGTTATAAAAAAAATGTACATAAATTTACATTTACTGCACAATATGAACTACTGCATTGTTTTAATGTTAACTTCAAGGGTTAGTGGTGAGCACACACACACACACACACTAAAAATACTCACTCCATCTTCACACTCAGAGTTTCAGATGCAGTACTCCAAGTCTTTTCATTCCTTCAATACTAATTCCTACATTTTCTAAAGTCACTACAGCAGACACGCAAAGTCAGGGGTCCTGTGACTCGCACTGATACTTTGTTCACTGCCTCCATTTTTCAACTTCCTGCTGGTAGGACATGCCCGGCCAGAACACCTTACCAGGGAGGTGACTGCTTCAGAGGCTCATTTCGATGTGGAGGAGTAGCGGTTCTACTCTGACCCTCCTAAATGACTGAACTCCTCACCCTATTGTTAATAAAGAGCACATCCACCCTTTGCGGATGCAAACGGTGGAATGGAAATAAGCTTTTTCCATTCCACCGTTTGCATCCGGAATCTCATTCTTTCGCCTTTATTAAAAAAAAAAAAAAAAAAAAAAAAATCTAACAGCTGAGACTGAAGAAGTCACTTGGATGAGTGACAAAACGTTTCTCCCACAAAACGCTACGTCCAGATGAACAGAATCAACTTTTGGAGAGTTACTTTCCTGGATGATTGAGAATGCATCAAGACGTTTTAACCCACTTTGGCAAGGACTGCCTAAAGCTTGTACGTCAGTATGAGCAAACAGCACGTAAGATGGCGGACTACAGGAACCACCTGAGATTCAGCCGACAAAACAGGATTACTCCTAAAAGTCTGCAAATGAGCTCTTCAGTTAAAGGCTTCCGGGCAACAAAAATTCTCCAGAAGGCACAGCATCAGTTACTTAATGAACGGGTGAAGCAAACAAATGTTACCATCGACATGCTAAAATGTCAAGAGGAGCGGATCCGACAGAGACTGACTATGCTTTTAGATGAGAATACTCTTAAAAAGGTGTTTGACTTTACTGAGAAGGCTCATCTAGCACAGCACAAGAAGTCTAAGACCAGGCAACAAAGGAAGTTTGATTTACTTGTTGTACGTCGGAAACCACCACAAAATACCGAGAGTGTCCTCAGTGACCAGAAGAGACAAGGATGCGACACAGGATGTGGACAAGTGGGTGAAGAATTTGTCTGACAGACAGCTCACCCAAACAGAGAAAAACATCCTTGCTAAAGGGTTGAATTTTGCTGTCACACCGAGACAAATCCTGCTAGTGGAGCTGATCACAGCCACAGAAACAGCAATTCGTAACAACAATATTGCAGAAGTGGAAGCAGAGCAACTACAGACGAAAGTTTCGGCCTGTCTCAGCAATGCAAAGCCCCCAGCATCCAACATCACCATGGAGAAGAGGAAGGCACTCACATCACTTCGTGATGACAACAACATTATCATCCTTCCGGCAGACAAGGGTAGGTGCACAGTATTGCTAAACCAAAAAGACTATCATGAGAAAATTTTGTCACTACTCAGTGATGAAAATACTTATGAGCCCCTGAAACGAGACCCAGGAAGTGGCTACAGGAAGAGGGTGATGGACTGTCTGAAGATTTTATTAACAATGATGGTTATGAAAACCATTTACCCCCATTGGGCATCAGTTAAAATGTACAACATTGGCTAGTACATCTGGTACAGACTAATGAAAATATCAAAGATTAGTCACATACATCCCTGGCAGACATATTTTCTTTTTTTTAAAAAAAAAAAAGAAAAGATGAGGCTTAGTTAAACTTTTATTTTTTTTGTTCTACATCAGCTACAGTTTAAACACTGCATGGCTAATGCATCGTAAGTGTACATACACAACTGAAGTACCATTTTTGTTCAGTGAACTCAACATGTCAGCATGTTCGGATAAAAGACGAGATCTTAGTTTATTACTATTAAGTCCACCATCATAGTCGGGGATAAACTTTTATTTTGGTGATGGTGGGGAGGTTAACAATCACATGTCTACAAGTGTCTAGTACATACACGCATATCAGCTGAAGACAGTGAAATCAATCCACAGAATGTGAGGCTAAATTGAAGAAGCAGATGATTATTTTTTTTATTATTATTTTTGCTAAATTGCAAAAACAAAAAAACTATTTGACTCAATTTGAGCACTCAAAGCGCGTTCAATTACATGCGCCATTCACATATTTCACATTCATAAAAGCGCTTCCTAACATTTACACACGCACTCACACTTCAGTGGATGCCTCGGGAAAAATGACTAACGTTCCAGTTAGTAGACGACCTGCTGTACTACAGCCACCCACAGTTATCACTGCCAACGTCAGGCTTCTCTTCAGTGCAGAATGCAGGTGAAATTATTACGTTGGTGTTCTGGGCCAAGACATTCTGACGTTAGTGATAAATTTAAGTCCATAATGCTGCTTACGATCTTCCATGGGACAAATATTCACATTATTAAAAACTCAAGAAGCCCATTTTCTGACACTTTTATCGAGTCAAACTAAGATTACTAACACCAAGAGACCAACTGGAAATTTCCTCGAATTATCTCTGGACTTCAGGACATGTGTTGTCTTTGATCATTAGTACTCATTAGGCATAATACAATTAGTCTTTGTAAACAATATACAAAAAGTCAGGAAAAAAAACTGTAAACATTTACTCACGTGCAAATGTTTACAAAACTAAAACACTTAGCAGAAGTCAGTGCAAACGTCTTCAGTATGACAACAGGCTCAAGTTTAGAGACTATGGGTTGAGACAGAAAATAAAAAAAAGAAAAGAAAAAAAACTGTTGCTGGAGAGGGATGCGAAACACTAATGAACGACTTTAAGCCATGGCCTGTTAGTAGTATTAGTGGATACAGAGATGCATTATGAGCGCGCAGTGCACTGCACTTACCAGACAACTCCAAACGCCCCGTAGCCGATGGGTCTGTCAGGCTCAATATCCAGCTGCTGCTGTAAATGGTGCGTGTGTTGCTGCTGCTGATGGTGATGGTGGTGAGCTTTGACAGCGGCTGCTGCAGCCGCTTGGACCTGTGCGGGAGCCGCGGCCGCCGCCGGCCCGGGAGCTTGCCCGGGGGCTGGAGAGGGAAAGTAGGGCTGCTGCTGTCCGGGGTTTAGCATCACCGCCGCAGCGGCAGCCGTTGATGTGTGCTGCTGGACCGTGTGCACAGCAGCGGCTGAGCCTGGGTGCTGTAAGTGGTGCTGGCCCGCGTGGTGGTGGTGGTGGTGGTGATGCATGTGGGGAGGCGGTAGGTGCTGGAGCTGGTGGTGGTGGTGATGGGGGTGATGGGCAGCTACTGCTGAGGAGCCACCGTTGTAAGCAGCCATCATTTTTGTAACATTTGCAGCAGTTGTACCGCAAAGAGCCATCCAATGATACTTAAATGCCAACTTTTCAAACTGCTTCTCAAAATGATACTAATGGCAACCAGACAGCAACCCCACGGTTAATACAATTCATGGCAAACATAGAGAAAATATATTTTGTCCTTTAAGCGTCCAAAGTCAATCACTTTGACAGAAATTATCCGATATCTGGTATGGCGTTTTAGCATAATACTAACTAGGCTCTGCCCCACTTCCCCTAAATTAATTTTCTATTAGGTACACCATTAGACTACTGAAGTCTGAAACTAGTGACGGAGAGCATATTATGGGCAATGGACCACCCAAACATACAATCTATGCAGCTTTAACAGTGCCACTGCTGTCAGTGACAAACCGAAAATATTCAATAGAAAAAAAAAACTTATATGCACTTCACAGAGACTGTTCAACCTCTCCTCCTGGGAAAAATTCACCTTCCCCTCTTAATAAAACAGTGCGATCTAAAGCAGGTCACATGGGAAGCAGAGCATTCATCTTATAAGTGTTCCAAGTTTGCCACACACTCGGGTCTGGCGCCGTTGCTTTTCTCACCACACGGCTTAAAATCGCATCTGTTATTCCAAACTGAATTCTCCTTAAGATGTGTGCACAGGCCAAACAGCTACTCTGATGGCAGAGGTAATCTCAGAGTCGTAATTAACGCTGCTGATCCGGTGCAGAGGAGGTGTAACCCAGCCAAGGCTACAATACAGCAGCGCAGAGAGGCAGGCAGGCCCGGGCCTCGGCAATCCACCCTATTCACATATTATTATAGAAATCCAGCGAGCCGCGTGCTTCCAAAGAAACCCCCATCAGTTTGACAGGGTGACGAAGCTTCGACCATGACTCAAAACACGAGAAGAGAAATCCTCACAGACGGCTGGCAGACAAAGTAATTCCCCCATCGACAGCTTTGTGTGTGTATCTGTATTCTACTCTGTCCTAATACGGCTCAGAAGCGCGCATCCAAACAGACTAACAAGTTAAATCCGTTTGTTGTGGGACAAAATCTACCGCCAGGAGCTAGACAGCCTTATTCAATCTGACAACTCAGAGCTAGCTAATGGGTATCTGTATCTCCACATAAAAACAGCAGTCCTTCCGTTGGTTCCGCTGGGCCTTGACGCTGTCAGTTGAGGGAAAAAAAACGTCACTCGGCTGATCCTCTACACTTCAAGCTCACGACGCTTATGTGACATGATAAAAGTATTGGTCACGAGGTAACTGAAATGAGCTGTTCATCCAACATGGTGAACAAAACCTTAGCCGCTCAGCGCTGAGATTAGGCAGGGTCGCCAACCAATCGTCTTCCGCACGGCAATGACGTAATTGTAACCTCCTTGATTGTCACAACGAGCAGCCAGTGGCGCGTGTTAGCTGGGGTGACAGCGGGGTTGATAGCTGACCGAAAAGCCCAATGATCTCCACATAGATGCAGAGAAAAACACCGCTCACTTCATTGCAGGAAAATATTCAGAATCCAGACCAGGGATTAAAATTAAATGATTGAATTGAAAATAATTTTAAAATAATAAAATATGATATGACTTCAGACTTACTACTTCTCTATACAAAGAACACTGCTCCGTAAAAGAAAAGAAAAAAAGTGAATTTCTAGTTTCTGATGCATTATATTCCTGAAAGCAGCTTCACAGGTTCTGTACCCTTGCCCAGATCTGTCTTGACCTGTGGTCAATTTTGAATGTCATGCCAAAGGACGTGAATACTGGATGTAAGATGTGCATACATATATGATGATACATATAGATATCATAATAATATCTAATATTTGCAAGAATAGTAAACTTCTTGTCTTCATTTTCTTGGGGGGGGGGGGGTATTATTTGTAGAATTTTTAGGTGAAAAATAAATTGAATACATTTTGGACTAAGGCTGTAACAAACAAAAAATTGAAGCACTCTATATTCTATGAGACACTATCCACAATGAACTTATTAAGAACCCAGCTGTGAATAAACATTCATTTACTTTGTAATGCAGTTCTTTTCTCACACCCAACAATCAAATGACCCCTTTGAACAACTGCTGACAGTGGGAAGGAAAAACTCATTTTTAACAGGAAGAAACCCCAAGAAGAACCAGACTTGGCGGCTAACTGCTGTGACTGATGAGGGGAGGAAGACAGGACAAAGACAACTCGAGTTTTTTACTGCACTGTACAGGCAAGTAATTCTTTTAACTGGTTATATGTGATTAGGAAGCAGCTAACTTTCAAAAATAAAAGCATGCAAACATAAACAGTCTTACACGCTGCACTCTCTGCAGCTTCTCTCCTCCTGCTACCCCCCCAAAAAACCATCTCCATAGACTGTGTCAGCTCCCAAACAGACAAAAAACAAACTAAAAACCAGCAATAAACAAATTAAACATAAAAAATCAAAAAGAAAGAACAATACAGTATCCACATCTGAACCAAAGAGTAAAACAGTGAAATGTGGATTATTAAATATTAGGTCTCTCTCCTCCAAGTCTCTGTTAGTACATGACTTAATAATTGATCAACAAATCGATTTACTCTGCCTTACAGAAACCTGGTTGCAGCAGGATGATTATGTTAGTTTAAATGAATCAACACCCCCGAGTCATTCTAACTACCAGAAATCTCGAAGCACAGGCCGAGGGGGCGATGTGGCAGCAGTTTTTCACACCAGCCTATTAATTAACAAAAGACCAAGACAGACTTTTAATTCATTTGAAAGTCTGATGCTTAGCCTCGTCCACCCCAGTTGTAAAACTCAGAAACCAGTGTTGTTATCATATATCGTCCACCTGGGCCTTACACAGAGTTTCTGTCTGATTTCTCAGACTTTTTATCTAATTTAGTTCTGAGCTCAGATAAAATAATTATTGTGGCTGATTTTAACATCCATGTAGATGCTAAAAATGACAGCCTCAACATGGCATTTAATCTGTTATTAGACTCAATTGGTTTCTCTCAAAATGTAAAAGAACCCACCCACCACTTTAATCACACTCTGGATCTTGTTTTAACATATGGAATAGAAACTGAACATTTAACAGTGTTTCCTGAAAACCCTCTCCTGTCTGATCATTTTCTGATAACATTTACTTTTACAATAATTGATTACACAGCGGTGAAGAGTAGACTTTATCACAGTAGATGTCTTTCTGAAAGTGCTGTAACTAAGTTTAAGAATATAATCCACCCACTGTAATCATCTTCAATGCCCTGTACCAACACAGTGCAGAGCAGCTATCTGAACGCTACCCCAACAGAGGTCGATTATCTTGTTAATAATTTCACCTCCTCACTACGTACGACTCTGGATACTGTAGCGCCTGTGAAAACTAAGGTTTCTAATCAGAAGTACCTGACTCCATCGTATAATTCTCAAACACATACCCTAAAGCAGATGACTCGTAATTTGGAGAGGAAATGGCGTGTCACAAATTTAGAGGATCATCTTTTAGTCTGGAGAAATAGTTTGCTGCTTTATAAAAAAAAAAAAAGCCCTCCATAAAGCCAGAACATCTTACAATTCATCACTGATTGAAGAAAATAAGAACAATTTCTCTTCAGCACTGTAGCCAGGCTGACAAAAAGTCAGAGCTCAGTACTCTGACTTGTTGTCAGCCTTTAACATTAACTAGTAATGACTTCATGAACTTCTTCACAAATAAAATTTTTATCATTAGAGAAAAAATTACCAATAATCATCCCACAGATGTAATATTATCCACAGCTACTCTTAGTACCATTGATGTTAAGTTACACTCTTTTTCTCCAATTGATCTTTCTGAGTTAACTTCAATAATTACTTCCTCCAAACCATCAACGTGTCTTTTAGACCCCATTCCTACAAAACTGCTCAAAGAAGTCCTGCCATTAATTAATTCTTCGATCTTAAATATGATCAACCTATCTCTAATGATCGGCTATGTACCACAGGCCTTCAAGCTGGCTGTAGTTAAACCTTTACTCAAAAAGCCATCTCTAGACCCAGCAGTCTTAGCTAATTATAGGCCAATCTCCAACCTTCCTTTCATATCAAAATCCTTGAAAGAGTAGTTGTCAAACAGCTAACAGATCATCTGCAGAGGAATGGTTTATTTGAAGAGTTTCAGTCAGGTTTCAGAGCTCATCACAGCACAGAAACAGCTTTAGTGAAGGTTACAAATGATCTTCTTATGGCCTCTGACAGTGGACTCATCTCTGTGCTTGTCCTGCTAGACCTCAGTGCAGCTTCGATACTGTCGACCATAATATCCTATTAGAGCGATTAGAACATGCTGTAGGTATTACAGGTACTGCGCTGCAGTGGTTTGTATCATATCTATCTAATAGACTCCATTTGTGCATGTAAATGGAGAGTCCTCTTCACACACTGAGGTTAATTATGGAGTTCCACAGGGTTCAGTGCTAGGACCAATTCTGTTTACATTATACATGCTTCCCTTAGGCAGCATCATTAGAAGACATAGCATACATTTTCACTGCTATGCAGATGACACCCAGCTCTATCTGTCCATGAAGCCAGATAACACACACCAATTAGTTAAACTGCAGGAATGTCTTAAAGACATAAAGACCTGGATGGCCGCTAACTTTCTGCTTCTTAATTCAGATAAAACTGAGGTTATTGTACTCGGCCCTGAAAATCTTAGAAATATGGTATCTAACCAGATTCTTACTCTGGATGGCATTACCTTGGCCTCCAGTAACGCTGTGAGGAACCTTGGAGTCATTTTTGACCAGGACATGTCCTTCAACGCACATATTAAACAAATATGTAAGACTGCTTTCTTCCATTTGCGCAACATCTCTAAAATTAGAAATATCCTGTCTCAGAGTGACGCTGAAAAACTAGTTCATGCATTTATTACTTCCAGGCTGGACTACTGTAATTCATTATTATCAGGATGTCCAAAAAACTCACTGAAAAGCCTTCAGCTAATCCAAAATGCTGCAGCAAGAGTCCTGACAGGGACTAGAAAGAGAGAGCATATTTCTCCTGTTTTGGCTTCCCTTCATTGGCTTCCTGTTAAATCCAGAATTGAATTCAAAATCCTGCTCCTCACATACAAGGTCTTAAATAATCAGGCCCCATCTTATCTTAATGACCTTGTAGTACCATATCACCCTATTAGAGCACTTCGCTCTCGCTCTGCAGGCCTACTTGTTGTTCCTAGAGTATTTAAAAGTAGAATGGGAGGGAGAGCCTTCAGTTTTCAGGCCCCTCTTCTGTGGAACCAGCTTCCAGTTTGGATTCGGGAGACAGACACTATCTCTACTTTTAAGATTAGGCTTAAACTTTCCTTTTTGCTAAAGCATATAGTTAGGGCTGGACCAGGTGACCCTGAATCCTCCCTTAGTTATGCTGCAATAGACGTAGGCTGCCGGGGGATTCCCATGATGCATTGAGTTTTTCCTTTCCAGTCACCTTTCTCACTCACTATGTTTAATCAGACCTCTCTGCATTGAATCATATCTGTTATTAACCTCTGTCTCTCTTCCACAGCATGTCTTTATCCTGTCTTCCTTCTCTCACCCCAACCGGTCGCAGCAGATGGCCGCCCCTCCCTGAGCCTGGTTCTGCCGGAGGTTTCTTCCTGTTAAAAGGGAGTTTTTCCTTCCCACTGTCGCCAAAGTGCTTGCTCATAGGGGGTCATATGATTGTTGGGTTTTTCTCTGTATCTATGAAGCGCCTTGAGGCGACTTTTGTTGTGATTTGGCGCTATATAAATAAAATTGAATTGAATTGATAATGAATATTTGAATCTTATATTCTTTTATTGTAGCACTATACAACAACAACAAAACATAGAATTACTAACACCACATGACATTTTCATAGAAGTTGTTTTCTCTATATATCCAAGTTAGTCCCAAAATGTCCAGTCTTTGTTTTTGATCCTCTCCTTTTGCCTGCCTGCCTGGTGCTCCTTAGGAGACAGAAGCTGGAGGATGTTTGGTCATTTGTTTTGACACAAGCTGTTGGGGAATTATATAATATTTTCAACCAGCTTACGAAAGAGTTTCCAAAACCAAATTTGTGTAAAGTTGCAAATAGAAATTTCCAGTTAACTCTGTCAAATGCCTTTTCTGCATCAAGAACAATATTATGGTTTCAATATTTTTACTGCATGAGTAGTCTATTAAATTAAGTAGTCTACGTGTATTTGTTGATGAGTGCCTACCTTTTATGAAACCAGTTTGGTCAGGATGAATTAAAAGGGGGGTTATTTTCTCTAATCTCTTTGAGAGAGCTTTGCAGATTATTTTAAGGTCTACATTAATAAGGGATATTGGATGACAGCTTGAAGGAAATACAAGGTCTTTGCCTGG